TAGAGCATAAGCTTTCGTGGACTACAGCCCACTTCTTTGGATGAATATAGAGTGGAATAAATATTGAGGAGATATATATACACACATACAGAGAGCATAAACAGGTGGGAGTTGTCTTACCAACTCGCAGCCACAAATACTCCTTTTCTTTTTGCGGATACAGACTAACACGGCTGCTACTCTGAAACCTTTGAGTTATAATGTATCTTAATTAAAACTATCAAAAAAACCAACAACCCTGGTTTAAAATAAAAAAATCTGATTTAAAAAAAATTTATTTCTATCCATTCTGATTAATATATTTAATGAGATATTTGCAAACATAAAATGGAGAGTGGGAAAATGCGAAGAATTGAATTATAAAAGGATAAGTTGTCTCTGTGATGCACTAACATTCTGTAGTTAGTGTCTTATTAATTTTCTATGTATTTACCTGGTATCTGCTGTAACATACAATGTGTAATTATGGAGGCCTCATAGTGGCTCTAAGTTACGGTTGCATTGAGAGTTACATGTAGCAGGAATTAAACCTTTTGATATGAATAATATATTATACCTTTTCAAAACTTACAGAGATTAGTGTTTGAGTGCAGAATGAATCTTCTGAAAACTAATAAGCAAACCTCGTAACTAGTTTAAGAATTTTAAAGAGGTCCCTTTGCATAGTTTTTGCGAGTCCAATCTTTTTTCAGATACTTGTAGCAAATTACAGAAATTTTGAGATCTGAAAACTGACTCACTTCTAGATTTTAGCAAAATCAGAGATGTATGCTATTTTTAAAGTTTATTAATGTTAGTGTAAAGTGTAAAAATTACTGTTTCTGCACAGCAATTATTATTAGTGAAGATTTTCGTCTCATACAAATTCCGGAAAATAAAATTTCAACTAATAATGGTTTCTAGCCTCGTGTGAAAATAATCTTGAAAACTTGAACTGAGCATAAAGCAATGCAGGGTTGTCTGTTTTACTTTTTATTGGGTTTTCAAGTTTATTTCAAAATCGTGAGGCCTAGATTTGCCTTCACAGATCTTTACTGTGAGATCATGTGCCCCGTTATGAGTGACAGATCTCATTTCAAAGCAGCTAACCAGTTGGGTATTGTGTTTTCTTGAGGCAAGTGAAATTGGTAGTGTCAAGAAGCCAGACTGCCACAGTTACAATCTTACAAGTTTGCCCTTGAGCCTTCCCTATTTTGTAGTATTGACTGCAGACTGGTACGTGTCTGGTAAAATTTTCAAGCTATGGTGTTGAGATCCTTGAATTAAAGGTGTTATGTTACTACACTGTGTCTTCTGTAAGGTTGCCCATTACCATAATATGTGAGTGCTATATTCCTATGTTTGCCAAAGGCCTACTCAATTCCTATCTTGTTTGTCTGATATAAAACCCTGCTGCTGTGTTGTAACTTAACTAACCACAGAAGAAATCTTAAACTTGATATGCCCTTGTGTTTATGCCACATATACTAAGCCATATAAAAACTGCAGCAAACATGGTTTGAAGCTGCATGTGAAATGCTGAAATATTTGGGATTTAATATGCCCCCAGGCACCAGTGTTTTAGGAGGAACAGCCAAGTAATTGCTGTTAATCAGATATGGTACTTGTTAGTGATATACAAACATTATGTGGGGTGAGACATAAGTGTAGAGATCACGTTCTAGGTATCTGAATTCTGCATTTTAGTTCTTTCCAGCCTTTTCATCTGTGTGACTTTAACTTTGAATTTCCTGTTTTATTTTAAAACTGTAACATTCCTTAAGATATTTGTTACTGATGCCTAATTACTGCCTTACACCTGCTCAGTTTTATTTTTTATCTGATATTATTTATACTTTGTTGTAAAGTACCTTGATACTATGACAAAGATGTGTTTAAAAGAACACTTAAAATAGCTATTCTCTACAGGTTGAAATTACTTCTCCACAAACTCTTGTTTTAAAAAAATTAAGTAGGTGGACTTAAGGCTGTGGTGCAGCAGATGCAGTGGTGTAACACCACAATAATATTTTTTGGATCTGTTACTGTTTATGGTGCCATAAAGGAGTAATCAGGCCTTAATGGTGCATGCTGTCAATCTTTGTATTAGAGTCAAGAATATACACTTCAATGACTGGAAAGGATTTTGACACATGAGTTGTGATCTTCTGTGTCAACCATGCAGTTCTTAGTCAATAAATAGATGTATATGGGACAGCCCATAATAATTTCAAAGTACTCTGTGACAGGAAATGTCTTATCCCCTATTACTGAAATTCCTTATCTCAGTGGAAAATAAAGGAGTGTTTAGATACTTATGGTAGATCTTTCACTGTTGTGATAAATGTAAAACCAATAAACCCACAAATCAGTTAAAGGTCTGATTTCAGTTGAGACTGAAAACTCTGTTCTTAATTAATCTTGAGTGAAATCTTGGCCCACTTAAGTCAATGGCAAAATTCTCATTTACTTTAATAGGGCCAGGATTTCACCCTTTGTGTGTAATTATTGCAGAGTCTCTACCTGTCTTATATGGAGAGTCAATTTTAGAGTTGTTAATTTATTCATTCTGTAGGGCCGAATTCATCAAATAGAATATGCTATGGAAGCTGTGAAGCAAGGCTCAGCTACTGTGGGGCTGAAATCAAAAACCCATGCTGTTCTGGTTGCTCTAAAGGTAAATTTAAGAAAAAACATCGGAACTACTTTTTTCTTCTTGCAAGCGCAAACATGGTAAATCCAAGGCTTTTATCATTGTTAAATTAAAATGTCAGATAAGGGGAGGTAAATTTCTGGTTTGGGGCAGACAAATTTTATAACTTTTTTCTTTTGTACCATTAGAAAGTAAGATTTACATATTTTCATATGTTTTAGCACTGGTGTAGAACTACTAATATTTTGATTAATCTGTGATAAAATGGGTCTTAATCCTGTGGTGGAAATGGAAGAAATTGTCTAGTTATAAAGACAAATGTATGTTGGTTCAACTGACCCTCCCAAAAAAAGAGGAAATATATATATATATTATATATAATATAAATATTATATATATATATAATATTTACAATCTCTTTTACTAGAAAGCCCACTTTTTTTTCTTCAGTACATTTCTTATTGGGGTGGGATCAGCCCTTTATATCTTAAGTCTATTACAAGGTTACAGATTTGGGGCTGTAAGTTCAGTCCTTAATGATAGTTGCTCACAATTTTTTTTTTTTAAAGCATTGTCCCTATTGATTGACACATTGTTTAAAGTCTGCCGCAATAATTTTTATGACTAATATGGCTTTTTTGTGTGTAGAGAGCACAGTCTGAACTGGCAGCTCATCAGAAAAAAATCCTGTATGTTGACAACCATATTGGCATCTCAATTGCTGGGCTTACTGCTGATGCAAGACTGTTGTGGTGAGTTTCTTAATGACTAATGCATACAATACTCTAGTAACAATGAAGTAAAAAAACAGACTTCTCATACTGTCATTTAATGAGGTCAGCTAAGAGAACTTGCCTATGGTTACTGGTCCTGCACTAATATGCAAGAAACCAGGGGTGAAATCCTTGTCCTATTAAAGTAAATATCAAGTTGGAGAAGCTTCCTTCTGTTTGTGATCCATATATTTTTATTTGCTCTTCTTATAGTAATTTCATGCGTCAGGAGTGTCTGGATTCTAGATTTGTGTTTGACAGACCTCTTCCAGTGTCCCGTCTAGTGTCTCTAATTGGAAGCAGTATCCTTTTTATTGTTTTAGTATGTATGTGTGTGTATATATATATATATATATGACATGTAATGACTCCATGCTTTTCTTAAAATTCATTTCAGTTTTCACTTTGTTGATGTGTTTAGAACTCTTCTGTATCAAAATATTTATTTTATTTGTTTTATTTCAAGCAAAGATTGCTTTGAAAGTTACAGGAAATAGATGCAAAGATCTTGTTTGTTTTTTGGGAGGACATCCTTTCTTCATCCATGGAATTAGTAGACAAGGCAGTGAAGTGCCATGAAGGAGACCTATTGTAGAACTAGAAACCATTTTTTTTTTACTTGTTTTCTGGAACACTTAAAAAGCCCCAGATAATGTCACTTTCTGATGGAAAGAGCAAGTTTAATGTTACTGCCTCATTCACCTTAATTGCCTATCTCTGGAACACACTAAGCGTTTCATACATCCATTGTACTTGATAAAAGCAAGTGTATCAAATGGAAAGGGGATGAAATTGGCCAGACTAGCATAAAATCAGTCCCTCATATTACTTGCCTGAATATACCAGTCACTTTGTTTGGAGAAGCTAATTGCTATAGGTCTGATTGGAGGCGAAGACCACCTTACCGTTGGTGCTCAAGACAGATGATGAGTTCTGTTTCTCTGGAACAAATTTTTTCACCACAGGAAATGGCTAACAAACCTATAGCTGTTCTGATGGAGTTTTACTTGGATTAAGAATAAAATTTAAAAGGTATTAACTTGCTCTTTGTGAAGATTCCTTAGCTTGTTTAAGAAACCCAGATACCAACACAGCGATATGGCAGAAGACCATATGGTGTAGGACTGCTCATTGCGGGTTATGATGTAAGTACGCTCTGTGTGTGTTTCCAGTCCATTTTATCCAAAAGAAAAATGCAGCCAGTAAAATATTTTGCTTTTGTAGCAACTAACATTTTGTTGAGAGGGAGGGAGGCTGACTATAGCAGTACTTATCAATATTCATATGGCTAAAGGAACCTCTTTTTTTTTCTAGACCCTGAAACTTAATTCTCATAAATGTTAAATGAAGGTAATTTTTCTACAGGTCCCTGGAGTGAATATTGATGTATACATATACAAACCTAAACCCATGTGGCTTAGAATTTAAAACATGGCTAATGATTTTGGGGCCCAAGATGAGAGACTTTAAGGGGGCTTGACCTTCAGAGGGTGGGTGTTCACCACTTCTGAAAATCAGGGCCCCTTTAAGGTGTCTCCAATTGGTTATCCCATTTGTTCTGTGTAGCACAGATAAGACACTGCCCTCATGATCTTACAGACTAAACAAGTTGAAGGTAGCCTGATTGAATCTTGCATACCAAGGTTCAGCCCTGAACAGGTTTGGACATTTGTACATGTGGGAAGCACTGGGAAATGTGTTTAATATTTATTCCAGGTCATAAAATGGGAGCTATTCATAATATAAGATCAATACAATTTATAGGATTTTACAGAGAAACAGGGTTTTCAGTGGCCGCCATTGAACTTACATAAAAACTTCTGATTAAAGGACATAGTGAAAAGGGGCAATTTAGAAAATTTAGGCTTGAAGCAACTATGTAAGAACTGCGATGTGAAGCACAGTATAAAACATACCTTCATGCATATATGACACACACATCATGTGACCGAGTTAGTGCTAAAAATATTTTAGAAAACTGCATGCCCTCCTGTGAACAGTTTATAAAATTCACACCTTTTTTGCCAGGATATGGGTCCTCACATCTTCCAAACTTGTCCTTCTGCAAACTATTTTGACTGCAAAGCTATGTCCATTGGTGCTCGTTCACAGTCAGCTCGAACTTATTTGGAAAGACGCATGACTGAGTTTGTTGACTGTGAGTGATGAGACTCTTCCGTTATATTTTCTAATGATCTTTAAAATATATGCTTGCTTTGTTTATCGCATCTTATCTGGTAATATTTATTTATTACTGTGCAGAAGGGGAAGATATAAGAATTGAATAGAAATATCCAATGTAAATCAAGAGGAAGAAAGAAACTAGATTCAAAACACTGATGGTTTTCATGTCTAACTTATTTCAGTTGTTTAGCAGGCCAAATGGAGGAAAAGTGTCTGCCTAGAGAACCTGAGAAAGAGTTAAACGGGAAGAATGAATTTTGTTTTTAGAGAAAGTGATGTTCCTTCCATTTCAGAGAGAGGATGGTATTTCAAGATAGGCATGTTTTGTCTGCATAATATTTAATCTGTAAATAAGAAGTGGATTTTAAATCCCAAATTAATTTTATTTTTAATAATTATCAGAGGCCACCGAAGAGTTGTGGGGGGAATAAAGCAGCTCCGATATCATGGCCCAGAGACTATATAAGTACCTACATGGATTTATCTGCCATTAGCTTAGAGTGTAATACTACTTTTGTGATTTAATTAATTGTCTTGAATGCAGGGGAGGATTGGTTCCTTATGGCATACTTGTATTGGATTTCCAGTTACCTATCAAAGAAGCAACATGCGTAAAGCAGTTTGGGGACAGAGCTAGCCAGACTATTTTTCCAGCTAGGAATGGAAGGCCGCCCCCCCCCACACACACACACCCTCCCAGCGCGGCAGGGGAGGGCGCCGAGCCCAGCCGCGGCACCGCAATCCCCGACTGGCCGGAGAGCCGGGAAGAGGGTGGCGAGCCCGCCGCGGCTCCCCGCTCTCCCCGGCGGCTGGAGCGCCGGGGGGAGGGCGGAGAGCCCGGCCGGGGCTCTCCGCTCTCCCTGGCGGCCGGAGCGCCGGGGGGAGAGTGGAGAGCCCCTGGCAGCCAGAGCGCTGGGAGCAGGGCGGCGAGCCCGGCCGGGGCTCTCCGCTCTCCCCGACCGGCCGGAGCGCCCCGCCGCACCACCCCACTCCAGGCGCCGCCCCAAGCAGATGCTTGGTGGGCTGGTGCCTGGAGCCGGCACTGAAGGTGGGGGAGGGAAGGGTCTCGGGAAACAATACTGTATGTTTAACTGTTTTTCTGATGACAGTGTATTGTTTGTAGGTAACCTGAATGAGCTAGTTAAACATGGTCTGCGAGCTCTCAGAGAGACCCTTCCTGCAGAACAGGATCTGACGACCAAGGTAAACACCAGGATCTTCCTTCTTACTAGAAATTACCCTGACAGAGTTGATAAGTATGGGTGTGTATTGTAATCCTCATTTTAAGTATGGGAGTCAAACATTAATATTTAGGTAAAATGTATTCAAGTGTGAGTCTAATTCCATATACTATCAGTGTACTATCAGTTCTGAGTCTTAATCTTATAGATTACAGTGTAACTGTAACTGGTGTTTGACCTTAACAAAATAATGCTATTTCTAAATAGAAGACTGTTTCCCTTGTTAGTGAAGTTTCCCTTGTTAGTCTCATAAATTTCTGTGTAGGATAGCTCTTTACTTTATTAATTTTATTGATTATTTAAGATTTGTTAAACATAGCAAAATTAGTTACAACATAGAGTAACTCAGCTTCATGCTTAAATGTTCATTTACTTTTAACTGGAATCTGCTGTTGGTTTCTTCAAGATAAAGTATTTACCTTCATGTTCGTGGGTTTTTTAAATACACTGTACTGTTCCCCCTAAAACCAATATAAAGGGGGCTGGAGCATTGATTCTTATCTCATGATTTCTGGCCCTGAGACCTTGTCCTTAGGTTTATAAGATAGATTTTATATATTTTTTCAGTGTAAGGGAAATTTTAGTATCTTAACCTTTTTTTTTCTATGGGGCTCATAAAATACTGTCAATGAGACTTTTCATCTGAACCAGTTTTTTTTTAAACACTTATTTTAAGGTAACTTTAAAAAAAATAATTCTATTGTGTAATTTTCTTTGTCCCCTTTCTGGCTACTAGCCCCCATTCAAAACTATTTGTTTGGCCTAGCCCAGTCTTGCACATTCTGGAGCCGCTGCAGAGCTCTTGGAGCATAATATGAAGCAATATGTTGGTCATAATATGAAGCAAATCCCAAATGGTTATGTTGGTCATCTTTCTTTGTTTTTGATAGGCTTTTTCTTATTTACACTTTGAATTTCACGTACTTAATACCTGGAGTTGCATCTTAAAATTTCTAAAGTAGTAATGAAATTTGTTCGTTCACGCATGCCTATGTCCAAGTATTCATTAAATATCTTACAGGTCTAGTAATATTATTATTCAGGTACAGTACAAGGCTATTGATAAAAGGCGCATGGCTGGTGGGATGCGCAGGGATTTGGGCACGATTCCCATTGGTTATCATTGTGCATCATATGGAGAACTTTAATGAAAAGTCTTTATGGATTTTTAAATAACTAAACCTACACCTGTAAATAACAAACCATGAACACACAACAAACATTTTATAAAGTCTTGAACTTCTCGGCCAATTTCCACAGTTATTATCTCTACCAAAAAGCCATATCCTTAGTTACCTTGTAACTCTGTTTTCAGAATTTTTTTTCTATATCATATCAAGTTCTTCAGTCTGATCATTAATTTTACCCAGTTCTGTCATGTTAATTTACCAAAGTGTCATGCCACTTTCTAAGGATCCATCTCTTTGAACAACTTAAGACAATTTTAGTCCATTCCTCAAGAGGCTTTGTAGTTCCAGTAAAAGTATATGTTTAAATCGCGTTCCCATATCCTTTGAGAAACTCAAGTGCGCGCATAAGATAAGAGACAATGAGAGAAGGCTGCAAATATTTATGGAAGATGACTCATACTCTGGGTAATCAGATAAATAACTTGAAATTCCATTAATTTTAATTGAAATGAAATCTAGTTTGTTGAATGCATTGGGATTACTCTGGATTTACATTGGCATAGCTGAAATTAGAATCTGGCCCTAGGTCTGTTTGCTTATCTTAGTTTAGGTTAAGATAAGTCTTGCATTTTGTTTTTGGTGTCAGGAAACTTAATACAGTAATGTTTTCCTGAGGTACTCTTCGGGGTTGATCCATTGAATACCAAAAGGAAGAGTCATGCACGTTAGTGGATTTTGAATCGGGGTTAATAAAAGCTTTTCATCTTAGACAGTTTTGTTTGTTAAAATATTTATACTAAATATATGCTGAAACCAGCAATATTGAAAAATCATATGATCTGTTTGTTTATAAATGCTGAAACCCAACCAAAAAATGAAGGGAGTTGAACCTGTTGTGTCTGAAATCATCAAACTGCATTTTTGGCTGATACCATTTTGGAATATGATAGCATCCTTGTAGAGAGTGAGCCTCCCTCACTTTCTTTTTTTCTAAGGAAGCCTGCCACAAAGTAAATCTGATAGAGAATTTCCTTCCTTAATTTGATTCACTGTGCCAAATGTATCTTAATCTTAAGAGGAAGCTGTAATTGATACATTTCCCAAGTAAAAGCTGCATAACGTTAGAGATTCACAAGAGACAGTTTCTCAGTTCTTTCAACATTGTACTTAACAGAATGTTTCCATTGGAATTGTTGGCAAAGAAATGGAGTTTACTATCTATGATGATGATGATGTGGCTCCATTCCTGGAGGGACTTGAAGAGAGACCACAGAGGAAGGTATGTGACTTAGTTAATGATCTTAAAAATAGTTTGAGTTGCTTCCTGTCTCAGATGGTATATCTAATCCTTTGCAATAAGACTGAAGATGAAGGCCAAGAAGTCTATTTAACCAGACTAGCCTGAATTAGCAGAAAGCCCTCTCAGGTTGTTTCCATCTTCTCACCCTGCCTGGCTACATATGCTTTGAACATGTCAAGCTCTATACAAGTATAAAATATCATTACCCTGACCTTTTAACTCAAAGATGCAGCTTGCAGATTCTGTAAGTCGCAACACGCAGTTCTGCCATGCCTCTGATGAAAGTGAAGTATTACATGTTGGGGCCTGTACACCTCTGCTTGCTTTGTTTCCATATTAATGAGGGGGTTATGGGAGCCTCTTACATCTGTGGGCTTCTTTTTGCCAACTCCCTCTCAGTTAATTCCTGTGCAAAGCTATCTTTTTCCTGTTTGACTTCTGCCCTTTTATAGTAAAATCTTTTTTTTTCCCCTCTCCTTAAGCTTGCTCCACCTGCTGAGGAACCTGCAGAAAAGGCAGAAGAACCAATGGAGCACTAATATTTGTGGATAAGCCCATGTGTTAACCTATATATAACAATATAGGAATGTTCATCCATTAATCTTTACCCTGAACCAAATGGATATTATAGTAATACATGATGGGGAATTAGTCCTAGAGTATTTTCAGATATCCCTAAACTGACATCAAAGAAGTCATACTTGGGCACCTTTTCTTTGAAAGGAAAGGTAAAATCATTTTTTTTTTAAAAGAACCAGAATACTATCTGTTTTGTATGAAGAGCAGATTGTCTTTTAAGGGCATCTGGAATAAAATTTTCTTTCTTGAAACTTGCTATATTGATTTGTTTTTAATCTGTTACACAAAAGAATAATTGGTCAAATTACTCACATTCTCTCTTCATATATATTTTCAAGGCACACATCAGACTGGTGTCTAGGTACCAATAAATAATTGACCATTTGTTATATTAGCTACAAAAATAGTAGCTGATCAGTGGGCTTCATCACTACTTTTTTAAAAGAATTTAGTGCTCTTGAAAGAAAATTGACAAATGGAAATAAAGGTCTATTTATCTTGAGAATAGATCCAGAAGCACAAGCTTCTCTGCATCTTATCAATGTCTCAATCTTGACCTGAAAGTCTAGTAATGAGGGTTGTTCACTACTCTGTGCTGTCAGTTCTTGGCATTTCTGGTGAGCCTCCATTCGACGTTCTCCATTTTTATTGATGGTAGTTTTAATGATGTTGGATCCCTGCTCATTTAGAAATGAACTGAGTCAATAAATTCATTTCACAAGAGCCACTAAACAGTCATCAGGTGGGTAGGGACTTTCAGAGCACTAACTTGGCTAAAATGAACTGATGAAGGAAACAGGCCATTTCTTATACTAAATAACTGGTGAGTTGTGGGATTGGGATGAGACATTACCAGCCCCCAAAGCCATCCTGACTGTGTTGTGACTTACTAAGCATGTGCATTTTATGGATCTCAGTCTGCAGCACATGTCAGTCAGTGTTTAGCCACAGTTTGGATTTAAGTTGAATGCCATAGAATCTAAATTATTTTTAAATAACAAGACTTTCCATGCCACTGTTATACAGATCAGCTTATCTCAAGTTTCTCATTGAGGTTCCATAAATCATATCAACATTAGGCATTTTATTTGATTGATTAATATTAATTTGATAAAATAACATTAAAACAGTTTTCAATTTCTAATATTGTGCTGCTATATGGGACATCTCTAATGAAGCTGCTTTTCAATGAGACTGCTGCCACTAGCTATAAATTCTGATATGCCAACTGAAGTTACAGTGAGTTTCAAATACATTTTGCACTTAGCACAATGGAGCTCTATAAACGTGATAAGCAACTGAACTCAGCATTATTTTTTCATTTCCACAGTATTTCACACTCGTATCCTTTGTATTAGATTTTAGTGTTGTAAGAAAGGTATTTGTAAGATATAACTGGGTGGGAGTGTGGATTCATTCTTTGTCTTAAATGTCAGGTTAAAAATATGTTCAACATATTTTCTTGTGCAAGTTACTAACCCCACATTGGTTATTTGCGTTTTCTGGTTCTCATGCAGTAACGCACAATGCTGTCATGTTGGGTTGCAAACACTATATATGGGAGTGTTTTCTTAAGTATTTAAATATTTTTATTTCAAAAATGTTAGTGGGATTTCTATTTTCATAAAATCATAGAAATGTAGGGCTGGAAGGCACCTTGAAGACATCGAGTACAGCCCCCCTGCACTGAGGCAAGATCAAGTAAACCTAGACCATTTCTGACTGGTATTTGTCCAACCTGTTCTTAAAAACCTCCAGTGATGGGGATTCCACAACCTCCCTTGGAAGCCTATTCCAGAGCTTACCTCCTTTTCTGGTTAAAAAGTTTTTTCCCTAATATCTAACCTTTGCTGCTGATTTAAGCCCATTACTGCTTGCCCTGCCTTCAGTGGACATGGGGAACAACTGATCAGTCATTCTGAAAACGGACCTTAACATACCTGAAGAATTATCTTCCCTCAGTAGTCTTTCTCTCCCCCCCCCCCTTCCAAAAAATGTGCCCAGTTTTTTTTTAACCTTTCCTCATAGGTCAGGTTTCTAAACCTTTTATTGTTTTTGTTGCTCTCCTCTCTACAGTTTATCCATTTCTTTCCTTAAATGTGGCACCCAGAATTGGATGCACTACTCCAACGCCAAGAAGAGTTGGACAATTACATTCTGTGTCCTACACACAACAGTCCTTTTAATAAAACCCAGAACAATATTAGCCTTTTTGGCAACTGCATCACACAGTTGACTCTCATTCTAACCTAGCCAGTCATTCCCCATTTTGTAGTTCTGCATTTGATTTTTTTTTTCAATTCATAAGTGAAGTACTTTGCACTTAACTTTATTGAATTTCATCTTGTTGATTTCAGACCAATTCTCCCATTTGTTGGGGTAGTTTTTTGACTTCTAATCTGTTTCTTCAAAATGTTTGCAACCCCTCCCAGATTGATGTTATCTGCATATTTTATAAGCATACTTTCTACTCCATTATCCAAGTCATTAATGAAAATATTGAACAGTACCGGACTCAGGACTGACCCTTGAGGGACCCCACTACATATGCCCTCCCAGTTTGACAGCAAACTATTGATAACTACTCTCTGAATAAGGTTTTTCCACCAGTTGGGCATCCGCCTTCTAGAAAATTCATCTAGATTGCATTTCTCTAGTTTGCTTTAAGAATGTCATATGGGACTGCATCAAAAGCCTTACTTAAATCAAGGTACATCATGTTTACTGTTTTCCCCGTATCCACTAGGCCAGTAGTCCTGTTAGAGAAGGAAATTAGGTTGTTTGGCATGATTTGTTCTTGACTAATCCATGCTGCCTATTCCTTGTAATTCTTATTTTCTACTAGATGCTTACTTGATTATTTAATAATTTGTTCCAGAATCCTTCCAGGCACCTAAGTTAAGCTGACTGGTGTATAATTCCCTGGTTCCTTTTTGTTTTCCTTTTTAAAGACAGGTACATGTTTGCCCTTCTCTAGCCTTCTGAGACCTCACCCATCTTCCATGAGTTCTCAAAAATAGTTGCTAAGGGTTCCAAGATTGCTTCAGCTAATTCCCTAAGTAGGTGAGGATGAATTTCATCTGGCTCTGCTGACATGAATACATCCCATGTATCTAAATATTTTTTTCCCTATTTTGGCTTGCACTCCTTCCCTCTTGTTCCCTCAGGTAATGAAAGCTGCTATAAAATCCCCCCTCACTCTTCTCTTCTGCAGACTAAATAACCCCAGTTCCCTCAGCCTCTCCTCGTAAGTCATGTGCCCCAGCCCCCAATCATTCTCATTGCCCTCAGCTGGACTCTCTCCAATTTGTCCACATTCCTTCTGTTGTACCTTCCACCCAACAGAAGATGGTCCAGTAAAAAAACATTACCTTGTCTCTCATGAATTAAGTTTTCTATTTTGTCAACTTCTTGCAGGACCTCATGGTGATTTTTCAGGCATTTCCTCAACAATAATAGTATTACTACTGAGGGAATTCTGAATTCTCTGTGCACAAAATTTTAAAATTCTGCAAATTTTATTTGTCAAAATAACACAATAATATAATCACACCATTTTCAATTATTTGCTGACAAGTATTTTGAAATAAATTACCAAAATAATTGAAATTGGTGTGATTATGTTGTTGTTTTGAAAATTAAAATATGCAGAAATGAGCAGATTTTGTACAGAATTCCCTTAAGAGTACCAGGGTTCTGGGAGGTGCAATCTGGGTATGGACAGCTCGGTGAGGACAGGATGAATTTGATTTAAATCAAATTGATTTAAATCACTAGTCAGGAAGGCTCGATTTAATCATAGATTTCTACATAATAGTGCATTCTTGTTATAACCTTAACACACATTCTTCACAACTCAGGTACATGTAGGTTTCATTTTTAGAAGGTACACACTATACATTTTTAAAGTGATTTATTTTGAAAACTTTTCAGATTCGTTTTACAGTTATATCAGAAAATGAATGATTGGTTATTTCATTTACCAAAGGTAATTGAAGCAGATATTTATGAAGTCATTGGGAGGTGAACTATCTCCAATTCAACAGGTTAATCATTAGTATTTGGAGGATTTTCTTGCCATGCTGTATTACCATCACCAGACAGACATTTAAATTGTTTTTATTTAACTAAAACAACGTTATGTATTCTGGATTTTTTTCTTCAACAGCAAACATATTTTAACAAATCAAGTGCATGAATTTTTGAATTTAATTAAACATTTAAGTTTTTTAAAATCAGGTTTGTTTTTGTTAAAATTGTTTTAACTAAAATAGTTTTTTTTTTTTTTTTAAATACAAAAATT